CTGCGGACTGCGGACTGCGGACTGCGGACTGCGGACTGCGGACTGCGCAGGGTAATATGCAGACTGCAGACTGTATACTTTTTAACTGAATCGTGTTTCCATTTTCATCATTGAGAGCTAACCGTAAACAGGCTAACTAGAGCGTTATTTAGGCTAACCTGAGTGATATTCAGGCTAACCGGACTGCAGACTTTCGCTGCGATATAGTTTAGCCTGAATCGGTTAACACTCGGATATGAAAATGTTACGATATATCTGACTTAAAAGTCTATAAATTAGTAGTTCTTTTCCCCCGTGCTTTTCATTCAGGGTAAAGAGACGCAACTCAGCTTACTTGGTCAGTTTCTTTGCCGCGCCTCCGAATGTTCGATTTATTGAGTAACCCAGAAAAATGTAGATATCGATCTGTATATACCACTCACCACTATTTATCCGACCAGACTTTACATGGTTCCTGCCCTATGTAATTAGCATAAACGGAAATTAAAGCTCTTAAGGAACTCTAACTACTTCTAAGAATTTTCGGAATTCATAGCAGGCATACCACAGGCATCCCAAGGTTGCCAGTCGAACACTTAGAGTTTTGGACTCTAGTAATAACAACTTAAGAAAAGCGCGTTCAGAAGATAACCCTTCCTGTATGTGTAGTCCTGTGCTTGGACTTGTACCATATTATTTGAGTGTATTGAAAGCAATATTCATACAAACGCGTAGGTTTTTCCATTTTTTATTTCCTTAGCTTGCCTTTCGCTAGTGCGCGAGGCTGTCGTGTAGCGCGATAAACACTCGTGCACTGTCTTGTGCTTCGTGCACCCACCAAAACAATATTTATCTGACCGAATTAACAGAATTCTTCACAACGATAGTCATGCTATAAAAATAAACTTTTTCTCACCCTGTCAGCTGTACAGATTTCTATTTTCTTTCGGAGATACTATATATAGTAACTCCTTATTTCGCAAGATGAAAATGCGCAGCCCAACTCACTACTAATTCAGAGGTCAAAGATAATCCAGATTTTTCTGCGACACCCAATCCCTCAAATGACGGATGATCAAATTAAACACTTAGAGACAGCACTGGAGACATAAACTGTTCAATTTGCCGAGAGAAAATTACTGTGCGTGAAGATGGCGGTTCAGCGGAAAGAAATTGGAGCAAGCTAGAAAGATTGCAACATAGTGTTCACTGTGATGGTAAGTAAAATAAAACATTTTGATTCTCAAGTAAATGTTTCAAATAGATCGGTCACGAGACGCATGAATGTCCTTGCGTTGTCCTTTTATAATAGATAGGTCTTATTGCAAGAAACCCGTTTAGGCCGAGGTTGTCATAAGTTGCAACATCATGTGACTGAATATATTTGCTTTACTACCTTAAGACCGAGTCAGTGATTTCATCATACAGTAGCTCGCGTCTATTACAGTCGTGTAGCTGTAAACGATGGCTTTAAAGAGCTTTTTGTATTCTTTGTTCTTATCTTGGGCGTCACGCCAGTTGTCGTTTAACGTACTGTTGCGTGACTGTTGCGTCTGTTTCAGGGAAATCCGGTAAAGAGAAGTACTGCAGGCCACACGCAGTACTGGATTTAGAGTCTGCTTAGAAGAACCAGAAGATTCACTTGTAGTAGATGCGTGCAATCTTTTAATTCCGAACCTATGAAAGCTTTGTTTCAAAACTGATAAGGTCAGGGTACTTTGTGAATAATCAACACCTTCAATCGTAAGGTAAACACACCGCTGATTTCGAGATCGCCAGCAAATGTCTCACATAGTCCACCGGGCGAAAAATTTGAATTATCGTGAAAAAAGGAATTTGGAATTTTTTTTGTTTTTTACTATTCCAATCATTTTTTAACAAGAATTTTATTTAGGTACGTTATCTATGAAAATGCCCAACAGCCTGTCAAACCCTCTAAGAGGAGTAAAATGAGCTTTTACTTACCCCCTAAAGCTCCCCTCCCACTCCACCCTCCCCACTTTCACTACCGAACCTGTTGCAGCTTTGTTTCGACATCAACTGCTGTGGTGAGCGTTTCTTTCCTTCTTATCAGGTGGGGTTGATTAAAATGAGTCCTATTGAAATAGCATTATCCAAAAGAATCATGTCTCTAGCCGCGCCTAATCATTTACTGCTGAATGATATAACGTAAGCTAATACCAAAACGTCTAGAAAAACAAGGTAAGAGAAAATGAAAGGTCGCATTCCCTTTTGATACCAAGTCCATAACCAAGTTGACGAGACAGGATTTGAAAGCTAAGAAAGCTAAACGATGAAATTTGAAAGTCTTACGTAAGAAGTAACCTCTACATACTTCGCGACAACCTTTAGTTGCAGCTAACGGGAAATCTTACACTTATTAGATGAAGACAGCAACAGTTATTTCTTTTTTTAACCTGCCCCATGTTTAACTTTGATTCCTTGGACATATCCAATTTAGAGAAACATTCTAAACCATGAAAAGTTTCGGCCTCATAATACTTCGTGGACAATGGGCACGTGCTTCACACTTGACGCTTGAATATTTACCTGCCCCTGCAGCACGCTTTCATCTTTCGCCACAATCACGGCCTGATTAAAATTTTGCGACGTTTCCCCTTATCACCTGAAAAGTTCCTGTTGGAGTCGGAATCTCCTCTAGCCCCATCATACACTACTCCTGTCTTTTTTTTTGTTTGCAAAATATCTACAACTTAAAGATGAGTCAAGACATTCGAACAAGAATCAAGTAACTAACAGCAATTGAAATCCAATTGCGATGATATCGCGTCTGAATGCGATTGATCATACTTAATTGAGTAAAAACTTAAATACAATCTTGAGTGCTGAAAAGAAAAGAACTTTGTGATTACAATAGATGCTTCTATTGCAAAGGAATCTGCACTGTCGAGTCTGCTAAAGTAACCAGATTAGTTAAGAGCTCTGCAAGTCGCACTGTATACGATATCAGTCAAACACACTCGTTATGCTTCTAAATAAATCCGTGGCTAGACTGAAAAAAAAAAACACAATACATGACAATATCATAGTGCGACCGACAAAGTTAGTGATTTTCAGCAGAGTGGCTATTTATCTTATCTATAGTCTGCGATTAACGTGCGACATTGCGAGGTTTTCAGTTCGAGCTCGAAACGCGAGACTCACGCTGCCGCGTGGCCGCGGGTTTCTCGTACTACGTGCTCGCCTCGCGAGACTCCCTGTTCAGCATACATTTTTACCTTATCTGACAAAACACGTCGGCGGTTTATAAACTGATTTTCCAAACCTCTAATAAGGTCCTGTCTACATAAGGCCGGAAAAGTTTGAAAACGCAGCTTTATTTCTACGGTTACGCCTTTCGTCCACACTAATACGTCACCAAAACGGACCTTTTCGAAAACGCTCTTCAAATCGGAGGAATTTGAAAACGCTGGCTATTCGTTTCCGTGTGGACAGAAAACATATCAAACAGAGCTTTTCGAAAACGCCAATGGCGTCACGATATCATGTGATTTCCCTAACCGAGTTTTCCTCAAACGCAAATCCAAAATGACCGGTGATTGTTGCGTTTTTGAATTTCTCCTGCGTAGTGTGGACGGAAGATCAGGGTGAAGCCTGCGTTTTAAAATTGCTCCGGCGTAGTGTGGACGAGTCCTAACATCACCGTTTTTAGTTGTTGTTTATTTTCTCACTAGGGAAAGCTGCTGGTAGACTGAACCAAATACAGAATTATGCCCTTCGTCAAACATTTATGCGAAGATATTTGGCCCCCATTCACTTTGTCCGTGTTTACAGCGTCGATATCCGTGGTACTGTGCCTGGTCACTGTGCCTGGAAATGTTTTAGTTTGTGTTGCAGTAATCAAGGATCCTTATAAAGAACTGAAAACAACATTTAACTGTTTCGTTCTTCAACTGGCCATAAGTGATCTTGTCGTTGGAGCTTTGACCGAACCTGTGTTTATTGCCTACCACATCCGGGAGGCCTTGAGGTACCCTGTCATGGAGAATGTTTGGGTTATTCACTTGACGTTTTTTGTTTCATATACAGCTTCGTTGTTGAGTCTCGCGGCACTAACCTTGGACAGATATCTCACTGTGATGTCTTACTACAAGAGATTCTTATCTACCGGCACAATAACACTGATATCGGTACTGATATGGGTGATATCTGTTTCCGTACCGTGCCTTTACTTCATCACCGGATTTTACTTGTTTGCGTTCTTATTCACGAGCGCCGCCCTTATCATCATAATCAGTATATTAACGTTTTCTTACATCCGCATTCATCAAAGACTGAAGGCTCAAATCTCTCGCTGGCACTGGTTCCAACAAAAACAAATCAAGCTAGAGGCCATATCAATGGAGCGAGGTCTGACACGAGCTTTCTACACTATTCTGGGAATATTCCTTGCGTGTTTGCTGCCGTCATTTGTGATGATTTACATCATTAATTTTTGTGATCATTGCGACTGTATCTTCATTCACTGGATGAGAGATTTGCAGTTCTTATTTCCTTTGGTGAACTGCTTGTTAAATCAGTTTCTTTATGCCTGGAAAATACGGAACTTTCGCCGAGCAATTTCAGCAATGTTGTGTAAAACAGTGTCATATGAAGTCAACACTCCGCAGATCGTGAACACTAATGGAATCATTGCAGATGACTCTAATTCCGTGGATGAAATGGAACTGATTCCCCTGGACCCTGGCAGTCTTCGTATGACGGCCATCGCCGAGATCGGTGAAACAAATCAAATTACGTTTTAGTTAAAATGCAAAGCTTCCATTCAATTTACTAGAGGGTGGCAGTTTATAGTCTATAAACATAGGTTGTTGTGGAAATTGCATCAACTTTATTGCCGAAGATTTGATGTTCCACATTGTTGAGATTCAGGAGTGAAAGTCAGCTAAGTCAGAACAATCTGGGACGAGTAGGTAAACCTGAGCCCCAAGTTACACAGCTACTTTTGAAGTCTCCAAAGTTCACAGGAGTCTTACAACATTGTGTTGCTTACTGTCAAATTTTAGGTTGGGAGGTCTTATTTTTAAAATTTTAGTACACGCTCATTGTGTTCTACAAGAGGTCCGTATCCGCTGATAGAGCAGGATATCGCCCTCGTTGCCCTTGACCTGCTGACAGAGAAAATTATTCTTGTTTTAGCTTAAAAATACCTTTAAGAAAGCTGATTTTGGAATGCAATCCTTTAATAATTAGTATATTCGCCCTTGTTTTCTGTGAGCGATGGTGAACTCAGCTGCGCTTTCTTGGCTATTCCGCCTCCGTTAGAAAACTCATCCCTGTATCCAATTGTTATGTAAAATAAACGCAGCGTAAGAAATGTATCGTAGCGTTGTAATTAAGGTTCGAAAGACAATGTAACCACAAACAGAGCCAGAATTCACAATAACCATGATTATTATATTGAACAGCTACAGAATACGAAGCTGTGTATGATATGACATGCTGACATAATTCTCGAGCTAAAAGTAGCAACTTAAAACGCTATTTTTTGGCTGTTTTATTTTCTCTTCCGCAGTGTTTTAGGGTTTCCCGGCGGTATATGTAGATAGCAACCATTCTTTTCCCTTTCTCTGTGTCATGTTGATGTAACAATGGCTTTTTATCGCTTTCAGTTAGTTACAGTAGTATTATGTACTCGCGACTGAAATTTTGCTTCGGTTTGAATCAGCGTTTTAGATCTATAAACCTGTCCTGTTTAGAAATGTTTTGGCCGAGAAATTGAAGAAAAAGAACAATAATTGAAACGGATGCAGGATAGAGTTTTCGAGTTTTCTGAGATCTGTCACTTCAGTGCCAAATGGTTCATAACTGAGCACTGAACTAGCGTCTAATTTATGTGCGATACATCCTCGACGCGAATGAAGGTTATACACAAAAATGACCGAAATCTGTTTCTCACAGTTTATCTTTTTATGCATTTTTTTTTTCATTTAGCACTATTACGAGAAACGTAAGGAGACCGACAAAGGTAATTTGTTTGTTGACATCAGGGCCTGGATTATCATTTATCGTGTATTGTGAGCAGCTCAGCTATTGAATGTGGACACACTTGGAGTTTGTCCACTGTGTGAAAGACTAGCATGTCTCTTTGCATGTCAGTTTTTTTTCCTTTTTTGCTGTTGTTCTGATTATTCCTTTATGTCAGTTTTGTTTTCTTATTTTGCTGTTGTTTTGATTATTGCTTATCACTTATTTATTTCAGTCTCGAATACCATTTCCCATAAAGAATTACGAATTTCCTCCACTTAGGTTATCCGAACGAATTTCTTTCGAATATAAGTAGATAAAGCAAATGGCTATTTATTTGTTTTGTGTGTTTGTTTCTAGGAAATAAATACCTTGTTGCTGTGAAATATGCATTAAAAAAACTACGTGACTCTCGGTGGTTCCCTGCCAATGGCAAATAGTAAAAACTCTTCCGGAAATAACGTGGCGCTCAGCGATGAATTTCCTAACACGGTAATTGTACCTTAGGTTTTGAAACCCTTCACTGCCGGAACATGCAGCAGCGATTATACGTTGATGAGCCCCTGAGTTTTCTTGTGTAAGTATTTGTTCTATCTAATCCCAATATGTCTCTTCTCATCGTAAAGTTGTTTTACTTGTAGCCCACTTCTCGAGTTGGTCCTTACTACTGCATAAAACAAAACAAAAATGGGATTAAAATCTCTATATATCTCACTGCTTATGATTACACGAATGCTACTGACATCGGATGTCCCTTGGAATTAATTCAAATTCAACCGGAAAATGTCACTTATACCTATCAACAAAACACGTAAATAATATTGCTAAGTCATCTGAAACATCTGCTCTCAAGGTTTCTCACTCTTTTGACACCATTCAAAAAAAGAGCTTGTCGCACCGTGAGCGAAGGAAAGAACTAATGTACCAACCAAAGAAATAAGTCGGTAAGACACACTTTTGTTTTAAAAGACTGAAGCCGTTCGTCTTATCACTTATTAAATTTCGTAAATGTAAACAACAAATAGAAAGAGAAAATTGCTTTTCACAGTCGCAAACCGACACAGAAATGTTATATTATTCGATATTAATCATTTCAACCCTACTTTTTACCATGTTGTCCTAGGTTTTACATGCCTTGATTAAAACCTCCTTTCAGGACTTAGTAAACGGGCCGGGCAATCCTCTTTTCAACAAGGTATAAAGCCGCTCTCAAAGAGCTATAACCGATCTGATTGGGGAAGCAGATTTAATGAAGAAACCTGTCCAGCAAAGTTCCGGTCAATGACATGTTCCTAGTTCATGACAGATGACAAGGTGAAAAAGAAGAAAAAACGCGCTCTCGCTGTATTCTGACTCAGATTGAGTACTGTTCAATTATATCGCGATGAAATTCGGAGCCAATCTGTGTGACGAAGTATGGGCACCGTTTTCTACGTCGGTCACTACTGCTTGTGTTTCAGCCATTTTGTGTGTAATCACAGTTCCCGGCAACTTGCTTATTTGTTGGGCCATCATCAAAGATCCAAACAACGAACTGAAATCATCCTTCAACTATCTGATTTTAAACCTGGCCATTGCGGATTCGTTCATTGGACTCGTTACCGAGCCAGTGTTTGTTTGGTATCATAGCTCCGAGGCAATGAGGCGCGAAGTCCTTGGTCTGCGTTGGTTAGTATACATGTCATATTTTATGACCTCCACAGCTTCAGTGTTAAGCATAGCTGCACTGGCAACAGATCGCTATTTAGCTGTGACTTCCACAACCATAAGGAAACTCTCTTCGACAAGTGCTATTACTGCATCTATCGCGATATGGAGTTTTTCCTGCAGTTTGCCTTTTCTCTATTTCGCGACAGGTTTCTACACTTTGGCCTTCATCTTTGCCAACACGACGATAATCTTAACCCTCATACTGCTACTTTTCTACTTCGTTCGCATCGTTAAGAGCCTTAACGCTCACGAGAAGCACATGGCATCAGTTCTGGGACAGAATGTGCAACGTCGAGGGCTTCTCAGAGAAAAACAAGCAACGAAATGTTTTTTACTCATTTTACTGTTTTTCTTTGTATGTAGTTTTCCATCTTGTGTCATGATTTACGTCATTAATTTATGCAGCACGTGCAGTTGTGTGGTTATACACTGGTGTAGAGACCTTCAGTACTTGCTAGTACTACTGAACTCTTCATCTAACCAGTTTTTGTACGCGTGGAGGATGAATAGTTTTCGTCGAGCGTTTGGACGAATTCACCCGTTCCTTTCTAGCTGGGAAGCACAGCAGAGAAACTCAGCTGTCTCACAAGCGCCTTCGAATCCCGCTGACCCTGCTATTATGGCGGAATAATAAAAGGTTATAAGGTTCGTTCTCGTAATAGTATTAGAGAAGTATAACCACTGGACCAATTTGTTTTTATAATCCGCAGCAAAACCACTAAAATTGATTGGACGAGAACTTACACGTCATACGTCTCATGGTTTCCGTAGCGTGAAGCGACCTAATACCCCGTCCCCCAAACCCAGCATTTAGTCAGGTTGCACTGTACCAGTGATCTGCCAGTATTCCTTGTCTATACTCCTGGTGGAGAGAGGCACTAAGTGTCCTACCAAGAGCCTAGGCCATGGGTTGCTCCCAGATCATGGCAGCACTTCAACTCCTGGACTGCTTGATAATGACCACCATACCAAGTAAAGAGTTTTCCAAACTTTGTTGGTTGCGTCGATTTTTTTATTCATGTAGGTATTTACATCTATCTATTTATTTATTAATCTTACTTATCTCCTACTTTTCATTTAATTGGTGAAGAATAATGCCAAAAACAAGGCACGCAGTGTCAAACAAGAAGCTTCGGAAAGCTTAAAACATGATAGTTAGACATGCATTTTGTACTAATAAAAACACATTTTTATCTGCATTTCCCGCTCGAGAAAAGGTCGCATGTATTATGTTTTATAAACGTTCACCACGTGATACTCGATGCGTATTGCCACTGTGATAACAGTCCCCATGTAAGTTCAGCTACCAGTAGCGGATCTAGGGGAGGGGCCCGGGGGGCCTGGGGGGCCCTTCCCCCCTTATTTTGGTTAAAAGAAGAAGAAATCATAGAAGGAAAGAAAGCCAGTAGGGCAAGTAAAACAAAACCGCCCCCCCCCCCCCCCCCCCCNCCCACTGGTTACTTGAGACCTGTTTGTTAAACATGTTCGATATTGAATCTTTTGTTTAAAGATTTGTCTCTTCTGTCTATCCCTTTCCTACTGCCCATGCAGCTGGGCCCAGTTGTTTTGTTTTTTGATTTACGTGGCGATACGTTTTTCGCAATTTATTTGGCTTGATTGATGGAAACCTAAAGATAACTGCACAGTTATGTTAATAATTACTGTATAAGTGGACCGCAGCTATAGAGGGTTGTTATAATGAGTTAGCCTGCGTAGCTTGGCGGTTTAAGCAATTTTTTAAGCAATTTGAGCGCGAGCGTTGCCTCTCGACCAGGCTCCTTGCGGCTTCGCCGCTGGTTATCGCGGCTTCGCCGCTTTCTTAGCGCGCTCAAATTACTGAAAAACCGCCAAGCTACGCAGGCTAACAATGAGTTACACATGTAAAAGGCTGGGATTAAAAAAAAAAAAACCGCAATAAACTCTAGTTTGGTTTGCAAATTCTGTTGTCATGTCTTCAAAGCTTAAAATCTAGTTACTATTTGCTCTGAAATAAATAAATAAATGAAAAGGTTTAAAAACCCTTTGAAAACGGGCTTCTTACGAGGGTCGTACTGGAAAATATTGGCCCGAGGTAATGACAGAACGGACCGAGCACAGAGTTAGACCTGAACAAAAACTACCCAGGACCAAAATTTCCCCAGCACGGCTTGAGCAGCTAGGTTAGTAAGTAGCTTATTATGTGGCACTCGGTTTTAGTTGCAAATTTTGAATTTGCCGGCTTCCGAAAGCAAAAACTACACGGCTTATGAACGTTTCCATGGAAACCATCCGTATGGTAATCTCCCGACCAAGAAAAAACCAATCAGAACGCTAGGATTTACCTCAAGACTACCTTGCAATATAATAAATCAGGTTATTTTCGCTTAATCTGTTCCAGGCTCTCGGTCAGTGGGGACGATGGAAAAAGCAGCCGGCCGAGCGGTGTCTTGGAGAGAAAAAGGACAGGGCGCCGCCCGCTTTTTCGATCGTCCCCACTGACCGAGAGCCTGGAACGGGCTAATTTTCGCTCCGGTGCAGTGTTTACCTTGGTGCTCTGAGAGCATTTCCCGAACGAGTGGAGGTAATAAGTAATTTTAACACTATTTTGGCCACAAAGGCAGGAAAAACACCGTTCTGGTGTCCCCGCAAAAGGCAAATTTTAACTCGTGACCGAATTGCGTTGGTTTCCAAAGGTCCGTTGAAACTTGATGACCAGCATGCGCAACTGAGTCTTTAAAAAAATGGAAGCGAGAAGTCTTTTTTAAAAAAATTGAAATTCAGCTCGGGCCCAGTCAACGGATGGTCCGGCGTCTACTTCATGTATACATATCATGAAGTCGTTTGATCGACCCTGGCATTTTGACCGCTCACGAGGACGATACTTTGTAGAGGGGGGATGTTTGCGAGAAGTCAACGTAATTCAGTTTCCGCTACAGAAAGGTATTTATCTTCTTTGTATTTCTTTGTATTTATTTACTGATAGAATAAGCTAGTTTTCTGTAAGTGAAAGCGTCCCACAAAGCGAAACTGGCGACATCATGACATCGGAGACAACGTTTGTTGCGCGCGCTTTTCGTTTTAACTGGCCATGATTAGTTAAAGCTTTTGCTGCGAATGTGAAAGACTTGTTTCTTCCCAACTACGTTCAACGTAAACACTTAACTTGTCTGCGTATTCAGGGACTGCATCAAATGAGCTTTTAGCGTGTTTCGATGTTATGGGAAATGGGCCAGCCGCCATTTTTGATTGCTGGTATTACAAGTCTAGTGACGTCCACTCACTCGAAACTTCAGTCGTCATCACCAGAAAAGTCGAAATCGACATGCGCAATTGAAACATGTTCCGTAACTCTTTTACGAAGAAGCAACTCCTTAGAGTGCCTGATATGTTTCTCCAGCACTCTCGCCATGAAGTTTTGGTCTAAAAACATCTTCATCTTCTTCAGTGCTAATCTTTGGTGACGGCGTACCAGCCACTAAAGAGTTGCTAGGAAGAGAGAGATCTTTCTCCACTTCCAATAGCGCTTCTGAAACGTCTAAATCTTTAGCACACTCCATTATCAACATGAGTTGTTATACTCAAAAATAAAAAGTGCTGAAGTATTTATACGCTTCAGTGCTTAGCGCATAATCAAATTGCCATGTGCTTTGTTGTCCCTAGGGCTATTCAAAATGCCGTGCACTTTAAAAGCGTTAATGAATGGGTGTACCTACCATCCAAGGTCGGTAATCTGCCTACTAGAGCATGTGAAAAGACTTATTAAGCAGTCTTTTAAACCGTATTGTAATCAAATGGTATGAAACTCGTTGTCGAACGAAAGAAATTCAACTCGTGTATCGACAAGCTTAGTCATGCCTAGCAGTGCTGAGAAATGTAGAGAAAGAGTGAAGGAGGGAAAGAAACTCCAGAAAAGTACAAAGAACAGAGGACACGATACAGAACAAAACATGCAAGTCAGATGCGAAAAACTGAAGAAGTGGCGAGAAGAACATCCTGACCTCCGCAAGGTCCAGAAGGAACATGAGAAAAGTGTGAGAAAGAAGAAATCGAAAGATGAGTTAGAATGTTCAGACGAAACAGAGGTATTACCAGTTGTAAACTTTGACTGCGATGAGGCAATAGCCTCAGAACAGCAACAGCAGGATTTAGAAGACTTGTATGCAGTAATTGGATCAGAACTGGAGCATAATTTAGTAGCTGATTTTGATCTGTCTTTACTTGATGTGAAAACGAGGCCATGAAACAAAAACGGCTCCTTTAGGAGCCACCACATGTCCTAAAAGCAATGATCAATGATAACAATGTTTTATTCTAAGACCATAACAAATCTGGTGTGTGGTCGGGGGTTTCTTTTCCGACTCTTTAAATTCCCCGGCTATTGGCAGTCACATTGATTGTCAGTAAAGAATATCCTCCTCCTCCTCCTCCTCCTCCTCCTCCTCCAACTCCTCCTTTTCCTCTTCCTCTACCCCTCCCACCTCTTCATCCTCCTCCTCCAACTCCTCCCCCTCTTCCTGCTCCACCTCCTTCTCCTCCTCTTCTTCCACCTCCTCCTCCACCACCTCCTCCTCTTCCTCCTTTTCCACTTCTCCCACCTCTTCCTCCTCCTCCTCCTCATGCTTTTTTACTTCTCCCACCTCTTGCTCCAGCTCCCCTTCCTCTTCGTCCTCCTCCTCCACCTCCTCCCCCTCTTCCACAAGTCCTTTGTTTTCCCTTTCTTCCATGATCGTAACGATCAACTAAATCACCAATAATTATCGGCCAAGAATAAAAATAATGCTTCAGCTGCTTTAATTCAGTTGAAGTAAGGAGTCTGTGAGCGAAACATGTCCTTATCGTGCCGTTATTGCCAGAGACCCTCTACACGTGAAGACAGTAGAATTCATCACGAGAAACACAGTTGTCAAAGGAAAAAACACCACAGGATATCCCAAAGATCCCATATCCTACCAAAAAGCACCATAGGATCCCTAGTAGAATAGAAATGGGAGAAGCGTTTTGATTCAAGACACCCTCTAGTGTTTTGGTTGTGGGTCCTTCTGGTTGTGGCAAGACTTGTTTTACCAAATCGTTACTCTTGGATCACTCAAAGGAATTGTTTGTAAACCCTCCCCCTACGATTCACTATTGCTAAGGGGCGTGGCAAGATGGATTCCGAGACATGGAAGACGCTTGTGTGCAATTTCATGAATAGATTCCAGAGTCAGACCATCTCAAGTCATGGTTTCCGAAGGGTGGATTCCTCATATTAGACGATCTGATGGCAGAGGGAGGTGAGGACAAAGCATTGCCAGACTTATTCACCAAACACTCTCATCATTAAAATATCACCGTGTTGTACTTGTGCCAAGACATGTTTCCACCAGGGAAATATGCTAAGAGTATTTCTAGGAACGCCCACTCCATCGTAGCCTTCTGGCAAGACATAATGGATGTCTATCAAAAAGTGACCGAACGACCGTTTGGGTACACGGTCCTGGATTTACATCCTGCCATTGATGACAGAAAGCGCGTGTTAAGTCACCTCGTGACACATGAAGGATACCCACGCTGGCATCGAAGAAAGAGAAAGGATGTCTGATCCTTGACCAAAATGGTATATTAAATATNAGAGTCAGACCATCTCAAGTCATGGTTTCCGAAGGGTGGATTCCTCATATTAGACGATCTGATGGCAGAGGGAGGTGAGGACAAAGCGTTGCTAGACTTATTCACCAAACACTCTCATCAAAATATCACCGTGTTGTACTTGTGCCAAGACATGTTTCCACCAGGGAAATACACTAAGAGTATTTCCAGGAATGCCCACTATATCGTAGCCTTCAAAAATCCAAGAGATCAATTAGGGATGAAGAATTTACCGCTTCAAGCTTTTCCACTTGCTGGCAAGACATGGTAGACGTGTTTCAAAAAGTGACCAAACGACCATTTGGGTACATGGTCCTGGATTTACATCCCGCCAGTGATGACAGGAAGCGCAAATTTAGTCACCTCCTGACGCATGAAGGATACCCGCGCTGGCATCGAAGAAAGAGAGGATGTTTGATCCTTGACCAAAATGGTATATTAAATATCAGTTTAATCGACTCGGCTCATTTGAAGTACGCTCTCTTGTTGAAGGTCGACGGGAATCATGGATGATCATTCAACAGATATTTTTGGCCCCATAGAAGATAACGATGAAAATGTAGAAGAGGAAGAGGAGGTAGAAGAAGAGGAGCCTGAAGAGGAACAGAAAGAAGAGAAGGATAGTAGCAGCTCCGAAGAGGAAGAAGAAGCGGACGACGATGAACCGGATCCGTGGAGTCCGTTACGTCAAAATGTCGGGAAGATCTCAAAGAAACCTACCTGAAAGAAGTCCAGCAGTTCCTGGAGAAGAAAAAATCCCAAAACTATGCTGAAAACGCTGCTTTCAATGCCCTGTTACCTGTAACTAGAAGAAGGCTACGAAGGACTTACTTAGAGCGTCTAAAATGGACTCACCGTATCAAACACGACACAATACACCGTAAAGTCATGAAGACTCTTCGACACTTTATTGAGGAAGACAACATGGATTTTGATGAAGCTGCCGAGTCGGCAGTGGCAAAACGGAAATTCCTGTTAAGCAGACTAATGAAAAAGAAGTTACTCCCTGACGATGATGAAGAGGAAGTAAAAGAAGAGACCTGAATAAGCCATGTGACTCCAGGGTTTTGGTCATAATTTGTAACACGCCACACTTGCAAGATGAATTGCTCCAATCAACTGTCAGGGAATGACCAGAAGGTCGTCTGTAAAAAGGCCTACCACAGCAAATATTATGCAAGGAACAGAGAGCAAATCCTGGCCCAACAAAAGAGATATCGTGCAGAGAACGTCGTAATTCTCAAAACCGGTCGTAAAAGATGGTATGAAAACAACAAGGAACGGCTCGCCAGCAGACAGAGATCCTATTGTCAGCAGAACAAGGAGCACATCAGAAATTACCGAAGACAACACTGTAAAAGCAACAGGGAACGGATCAACGAATATTGGAGAATTTATTATGCCAAGAATAAGGAACGGATCAGGCAAAGACTTCATGACCAAAAGGAAAGAAAACTAGGGCAGAATATCGTGCGTTTTGGGGCCACGGACCAAGACTCTGTGAAACTGGAAACGAGTCTAGTTCCCAAAACTTTGTGGAATACCGACGGTCAAGACTTAAAATTATAATCAATTCTCCCTTTAGAGTTATTATTCAATAAACGTTATAAAGACTCAGACTCTTTGTTTTGTTTATAACAATTTAGCAATTTATTTCCACTTGAAGTATTTTAATTGAATTTTTTTTACATGGCCGACTTTCGTGGGCGCGGCCATCTTGAATTCTCAATTCGGCTCCGGATTGGCTAAAAATAAAATAGCGCCTATTGTCTTTCTCGGCTCCTGATTGGTTACCGTCCATATAAGCATCCATTACTACTTATGTGGGCGCGTATAATGGGTAAGAGTGTGTCTTTATCCCTTTGCGCTACTGGAACAAGAAAGAAGGTCTTGGTCTCGCGGCAGATGCCGCCAAAGACCCACTGTCCTTCGATGTAGCGACCGCGGTTGTACTTCGTTTTGCCAAACTTGGACTCGTCAATCTCAACAGTCGTACCTGGTCCGCCTATTTGCCCTGCATAATGATTCATGATTCTGTTGGCACAAACCTCTCGGCAATAGTTATACCAATCTATCACCGTTTCTGTTGACGTGGATTCGTCATCTAGTGAGGTCTTGTGTACTGCTTGAGTAGTGGTAACTTTGTGCGCCCAAACGTACATTAGGGCTAATACTTTTTCAATGGACAGCCTGCTTCCAGAAAACCATGAGTTCTGGCGCATTGATCCCATGCCATTGCATTTTCTTCTCGAACACCGCCATTCGAACCCATCTCGCGATGAAGCTCGTCGTGTTCACGTCAATGTATTGCTACAATTTTCCCGTGGACACATAATTGACGACGCGAGCAGGTTGTGTTCCTTGCGCCGCTGGATGCACTGATCGTGATCCGCCAAAATTTTACGCAATTTAAAAAAGTTTAGTGTAGACATTCCAAGCAGAAAAACGGTAAACTGTAAATGTAACTTAAAACGAAAATGTAACCAAACGTAATTCTTACAAGAGAGTAGATGCGACAGGGAGAAAGAAATACATCATTCCCTTTATATTCACTAGGGAGCTAGTGATGAGAACATGCGATGCGTGTTTTCGTGCAGCGTGAAACATGCTTGAAACAGAGGAATAATGCAATTGTAATGTAAATTTTTGGGAATGTGAACGAGTGAAGTAAAATAAAAATGATTTTTCGAGTGATAATTCTCGACTGAACCTCGTAGTGTAGTGGTATGGAAGAGAGACTGATAAGCGGAAGGTATGCGAAAGGTAAGTGGTTCGACACCTGCAGGGGTACAAGGAAGAAAAAGGAAAAAAATGCGCAAGGAGCCTGAATAATGTGGAGGAGAAGAAATCCTCTTTTATTCATACAGTAAGTAGTAATTATCAATGTTCATATTCAATACCTTCGGGAATTCCTATTGTCTTCAAAAACAATAGAGCGCATACATAATTAATCATTCTGCATGCATAACAAATGTTGGGGTTATACGGAAATCTTTCCCAAGCCACATACAATTTGTTAATTATGGTCAGGAGCCTTTTTCTAATGATTTACGAAATTACTAATATTCAAAAAACTTAATGTAAATTTTGGATTTTTATCGTTAAATGTTCGAGGGATCAGGCTATTTGATAAGCGGAAAGCGCTTTTTCACTGGTGTATGAAAGACAAAGCTGATATAATCTTTCTACAAGAAACATATAGCACACCCGAGGTGGAGAATGTTTGGAAGTCCCAGTGGAGGGGAGAGCTGTTTTTTAGCCACGGCTTGGAACACAGCAGAGGTGTATTAACACTTGTCAAAATCCAGGTGCCAAACGTTTGTCTTGGACGCAGAAAAATCCAGCAATTCAATGCCGCCTAGATTGCTGGCTAATTAACAATTAGACCCGTAGCCCGCAAGGACTACGGGTCAATAGCCCATGAGGCGAACCCGAATGGGCTATTGACCCGTGGCCCTTGAGGGCGAAGGGTCTAATTGTTTTAGTATCACCCAACTAGTCNGTTGGGTGATACTAATAACTAATAGCATTCAAGAAGGGGTTGACAAGGTCGACATTATTCCTGCCATTAGGTCTGATCACTCTGCCATTACGCTACATATCAATGGCATAGAAAACACGACTTACGGACCTTCCTTTCGGAAATGTAATGCAAGGTTATTGGAAGACGAAGAGTATGTGAATAAGATAAACGAAAAAAGTCGGGAGTAGATAGAAGAAAATAGAGAAATACAGGATGCAAGGGTTCTTTGGGATTTCCTTAAGGTCATTCCCCAGTATTGCATTGCGCATCCTTACTGCGCATAATTGCACGCGTGATCAGCGCGCGCGCATTAAAAAATGGCGGCTTTTTCTTTACAGCTGGACCTCGCCATTAAGGTAAATCGTCATTTTCTCGCAAACGAGTATGGTGACCTATCATTTTTTTCTGCTGTTTTGAATTGAGTAATAAATTTCTCTGTGTAAAATAAATATGGACCAATTCTCAGTGTAGAACAAAAAGCAAACGTCGGAAACGTGAATCTAGCAAGCAATCGTGACTACAATCATGGTGCTATAATAAGGATTTATATGGGTATAAGCAAGGTGCTGTTGCTCCTAAACGAACATGGGACCCCTCATTTTTATTTCAAAATTTACGTTCCTATAATATAAACAATCAATAGGCAAAGTTTCACAAAAATCTCAGTGCAGGTTCTATTTCAGTGGAATGACCCTAAGTGTAAAATACGCGATGAAACGATTGTTTACAGTAAAAAGAAAGCTAAAGAACGGAGATCGGTGCTGGTCAGTTTAGAGGAAAGACTTAAGGGTGTCGAGTAAAATGCGACAAGGGTCCAACACCTGAAAATCTTAATGACTTAGACATAATTCAAACAGAATATGATCCCCATTATGATTGTTACCCAGGGAATAATTATAAGATCCAGGCAGAGTTAACTGGTATGAACAGGGGGATTTCACTGGCCTGGGTACCAGTACATGGGGCTTGGGACCAAGTTGGCAAAGAGACTGAAACGAGGAGACCCAGGCATCAACCGACTGGACAAGATCGCCAAACAACACGACATCGATTACAGTCACGCTAAGAATTTGCAAGACAAGTTGAAAGCGGATACAAAGATGATCAAGGCCATAACGAAGTTACCAGGGAAACGCACTTTCACCGAAAAAATTGTCAAGAAAATCATGAAAGCGAAGAAAGCGTTAAAATTTTTAAGTAAATGTCTCTGTGCCTTTGCTAGAGCTCATGTTGTCATTATTCAACAAAAGTTGACAGGAAATATCAGACTCTGTGTTCCTTGATAAAGCAAAGTTTATTATCAAAACCCTGATTACAATGTGTGTGCTCTATTATAGAAACCAGGCTTTTTACTCCGCGAACACGGAAACGAGATTAATAACGTCATTCCTCCACTGTCAACGGGCCGGGGCTTCTGGTTACCATGGATACGTCCAACTCAAGAAAACAATAGAACTCTTTTCCATAACAATACCTTTTCATTTGCATCACAATACGTGTCAAATCCGTACTGAACTAGCCCATGCCACTACTCAATCCCCCCTCACATTTTATTAGGTTTCTTTATTGATATTTTAGTGCTGGTCATTTTCTTTTGCAAACTTGGTGGGTCCTAAATGAGTCGTTTTTTGGTTGTGGGTTTTGTTGACTTATTCAGTTCCCACGAGTCGGGCCGTTGAGATGTGAACAGGTTTTCAGCAGCTATGCGGCGGTCTTCTCCTTCTTCCCAGCTGTCGATTAGCCTCGCCTGCAGGGGTCCGTACCGCTTCCGCTGGACCCTCTCCAGTTTTCTATCTGACTCAAGCCTGATGGTGACGGCTGTAAGTCTTACCTCTCTGTCCAGAAGCTCGAACCAGGAGTACAGAGGTAATCCGCACTTCCCACTCGCACGATGATTCAAAGCGTTGTGTCATTCCTCGATGTCGTTGTTGGTTCTGATGGCCTGCTAGTAGACGCTCCAGTTATTTGGAAGGAATACTGTGCATTCAATCCACTGTCATCTGATGTAGGCGACATGGTTGTAAAGGTGCTCTGTTTGTGCTTCAGCTTGCAGGCGAAAGAACATAGGGCTGATCTGGTGGTGAGGCAAGAACGGAGGGGCGATTAACTTTCTGATGTATTTGTAGACCGCATCGTCCTCAGAATAGCCGGGCTCTCTGCAGGCTGAGCTCTTGCACCTGAAAACAAACATAGACAAACGCATTAGTTCCGTAGTCAAGAAGAAAGAGAAAGAGTTGAAAGAAAGAGTTGAAAAGTCAATAATTTATGCATATTTATATAAACCATTGATATCAAACCTCAACTAAAAATACTTATATCGCGTGTTGCGTGAGATTCGTAACGAATGTTCGAACGTAAGTTCTTCTTTATTTATCTGATCTTCGCCAATAAATCATTTATATATATGTGCGAATGTTCAGTTGAAACTAATTGCGATAACGTACCTTCCTCCACACGGCTTGCGTCCAGTGGAAAACGCATCCCTGAGTGGACACAGCTGGCAGGATCGTTCTTAATGCCGCCCACAGCGCCTTTTCAAAGTATTGGGTAACTTGTTTGACGGTTGGCTAGCATGTAAGCAGTTCGATGATCATCTTTAGTTCTGGGAAAATAATGTGACAAGACGCTGAGTTACATGAAACTTCATAATAATGCTCAGTTTTTCCCTAAAATTCTTTCTTCCCAGGAGTCGCACAAATGCTGGGATATTGATTAGTATACAAACACTTTGCGCGTAATCAAACAAAGATATTTCGACTCAATGGCTCTTTAACTTCGCAAATGATTAATAAAAAGGTTTTACAGGCGGTTTATACTCTACTCTACTCTGGATGGTTTATAAAGTTTTCAAGCACGGTCGGCCCACGATCGATCAATGGTCTTTGTTAGTCTTTTAGTATTGTTGTTGTTTTATTTTTTTGTTGTTGTTTTGTTGTTTTTTTATTTTTTATTTTTATAATTATATTACATGCATTTCATTACATTTAAAAAACAGGAACTTTTACACACGCACTGTAAAGTACTTACTTACATTACATACTACTTGACTCTACACCGACATTGTATATTACACTACCAAACACTACTACACTACTTAGTAAGTTACTTAATTACTTTACACACCACCTGACTCTACTTTACATCCACATTGTATACACACCACTACACACTAATACACAACTTATATTTAACACCCGAAAAAGAAATAAATAAATAAATAAATAAGGTTTACAAGGCTTACAATACTACTTACGTTTTCTAATAATACAGAAAAATAATACAATAAAAAATACACAAATAAGTGTCTCTAATTAATGAGAGGCTTCCACTTTCCGTCGTGGATTTTAAGTCGCTTGTTCGTCATGGCTATAGATCTTTCAATTGATTCTATGTGATCTAATTTTATTATGAGATAACGCAATGATGGTAAAATTATTCTTCAGACGTCTGTGGTAGATGACTAGTTTTCCAGCGAGGATAATATGATTTAATTAAAAGCAACCAATGAGACCTTTTTTGCGTGCCCTCAAAATTTCCCATGCATTAACCCGTGTAAAGAACATTAACTTAATTTGTCCATCGCCTTTCCTTAAGTCAATCACAATTGACAGCGAAGTACCGGATCTTTGACCGCGTACAAATCGTGTCTCAACCAAGACAACGGGTATATTAACAAGTTCTGCATCATTAATATGCAATGTAATAAAGATAGAGGATAATCTTTCTAATCTTTCATATTTTTGAGAAATGGTCCAGAAACTAAACAAGTGAATTAGCCATTAACCATAATATATAGATTTAGGCCAGCCCAAAAGCGTAGCTCCTGGGCCGGGTTGTTCAGAGCCCAATTAAGCTAACCCAGGGAAAGGTAGAATTTTGATTTGAGTTTTGTGACTTTGCAGTGAGGTTTTCCGTATATTGTTAATCCTGAGTCAGCGTTAACCGGTTTCGGAACAATCCTGCCCTGTTTTCAACAAGTTAACCTGACATAAGCCCGCGATTCAATCGAAAACCAGCACTCGGTCAGCGGTCAACCTAAAAAAAACACGTGACCTCAATTAGCTGTAAACTTGAACCCGCGATATGGTCACTTGATACTGGTCAGCAGATACCTTGTTTTGACAGGTGTCAATTGATCGTAACATGGATGTCCAATATCAAAGAAGTACACGGTAAACCAAGGCTGCATGTCTCTTGTAGGCTTTGGTAGATTGTGCCCGAAAAGAAAGCATATTATGCTTTTAGCAGTGCTCATATTTTTTAGAAATTATGCCAAAATTATGCTACTTTCTGAAAATTATGCTCTCTGTAACCGAAATTATGCTACTTAGATTTTAAGAAAAATAAAGATCACCAGTAGCTTAACAGCCTGCGGCATGTTTTTTGGAAGCCAAGTGGTTTTTGAGAATGCTCTTTTTAGAGCTCAGTATCTCCTTACACCCATTGCAAAACAGTATTCCACCTCGAAGACACAAATTTTCCCCTAGAAATTCTTCGATTCGATCACGAGGACTCATGTTCTTTGGATCTGAGTTACCTCTTTCCTTGTACTTTCCGGTATTACTTTTAGGAACACGTTCTCTAGAGATTGAAGCTCTCGGTACGGCACTGGAAGTGCTGAAAGGGCTGGAAATGCTGGAAGTGGATGTACTCGAGGACGACGCCATCTTTGATCTGAGGCCTGAAGGGCCGAGCCGCCGAGCCATAAGCGTGGTGGCCTGAGGAAAGTCTAAGTCTCTCAGATATGCACAGGGTTACCTGGAGTCTGCCGGACCATATTTGACCATGGGCCTTAGCACAGACCTCAATATTTTCCAAAAACAATACAGAAATAAAATACAAAGTGAATTATTCGAGAACTATGATGGGTGTTTTTTTTTTTTTTTTTTTCAACGCATAAAAGCTCGGATTATGTTAGCAGTGCTAAACTGAAATAAAAGCTTAAAATAATGCTCGTTTTGCTAAATTATTCTTAAAATTATGCTAGCACAATCTACCAAAGCCTAGTCTCTTCCCGTGTTTTCACGAGAGAGGTTTACTACGGCTACCGTGCTTACTGAGGTTTTGTAACTAATATTAGAGGAGCTGTTTGCACGAAACTAATTAAGTAAAGTAGGCCGCATACAACGGACGATTTGAGGTTTTCTCGGAAAGCAAGTGCTGCAATGCTGCTATTGGAAAATTATAAAATTTGAGTTTACTCCAATGCCGAACGCAGATTGCTGTCAATTTGCTTGCTATGATGTCGAGCCAAACTCTCCTTAAATGTAAAGCTTTGTAGATGAATAGTGGAAAGGAAATTTTGATATCTTGCATAGCCTCTTCCCTCAAAAACCCTGAAACGGCATCTGCCACGGAGCCCGGGCTACGTGAACGTTTACCGGTACTTCTTCTTAATTTCGGGGCCGCTTTAAATTCAAACATTTGCTTTTCTTCTCCATTGACCTCAATTATGATTTTTTTTTCTCTCTCTATTTCTGGTAGGTCTTCTTCTAGTTGCGCCTGCCTGTACACTCTTACTGAGCTACATGTACTGAGCTTCTAACAGTAAGGAAACGCTTACGGCACTTGACGATGAACGGGAAACAGCAGTCCGGGATTCCTTTGCCTAAACATGAGTTTATTTAGCTTTTTTGCCCGTTGACTTGAAACCTACTTACATTAGGAGGAATCTTCGTGCATTTTTCTCTTCTTTACGCGCGCTGCACGCGTAAACACTTCTTGCCAAGATATCGCGACAACGTCTGCTTTTCCTCGGTTACCGTCGGTTACTGAGCTAAACCATGCCTGATGAGGCGTTCAACTGTCGACAAACCTAGGTTGGCTTACTTTTGATTCTGCCGCCATTAACCGAGGTTTGCTGCTGTGTTTACACGATTAAAAATTTCACTTCAGTAAAGTTAAAACAAAACAAAGGTAAACATCTCTCGTGAAAACACGGGCTCTGTCAACCTATTATTTGGAGTATGGCTGCCATGTTGCGCGACTCCGTCGTCGTCGCCGTCGTGCGTACGCGCCCACGAGCAATACCAATTAATTTCCTAATATCGATTTCACTGATCCTTTCCGGCGTTCAAATATACTGCACCTGGCTAACCACATCAAATAGTATATTTGTCAAATAAAGCATGACGTTATGGTTATTTGACTGGTATCCACAACAACTAATTATCACAAGACGACGAGAGTTACTTTGTAATTAGCTGAAAGGCTTTTCCGTAGCTTTCATAACTTTTTCTCGGCGATAGGATCTTCTGTGTAGACCGTTACCCAATCATTTTGAGTTTCCTCGACTATCATTTGAAAAAAAAACCTTTTACTTCCGTGCTTTTTTAAGCTATTACAGGTGGGAAAAACACACGGCAAACGGATCCTAAAGGGCCTACATTTTCCAAGTCATGAAATGAGAAAAAGTAAATTTGTTGCGGTTGTGTTTAACTATGGGAAATTTCGGTGCAGATCAGACATTTTAAATCGAGGATGCAAGATTACTTAAATATTTCAGGGAATCTTGGCATCTCTAAAGTTTGTTAACGTAGTATTTTAAATAGGTATAAATTCCTCTGATATTTTATTTTTTGTGTCCACGTTTAGTGGTTTCCGTACTGCTTATTTCAGTTTGTCATTTAAATGGATGTTTTAAACGTTGATTTCTCATTTCATATGAAAAATTGCTATGTTGCTATGGCAATTAGTGTTGGGTTGATAATTTACGGTTCCACGGTTGTCATCGCCTGGGGTTGGTAATGAGGATAAGCTCCCATACATTGAGCAAGTCAAAAATCCACGTTTGTGAGCTTAACTTTGTGACCATGGTATTAAACTGGTTACAGGCTCGGACAATTATATATTAGAATTTTGAGAGAACGCGCGTGAAGTTATTTCTCGATTTCACTCGTCACCATTTCATTACCCATACATATTTCAGACAACTTTTTAGACGTTGTGGAGCTGATTTCAGAGATGGGGCCACACAGCTCCGCCAAGTATGCAGTCTCACCCCCCCTCTCCCTCAACCCGCCACACAGACAAACGAGCTTTGCCTCAAGAGTCTCTTGATTTTTATTTTGACAAATCATTTCACCATACACTGGGTCTACATCTGCAACAATATAAGTCACGGTAAAGTTTAGAGTCCCATACATTTAACTTAAGTTTATAGGAAGTACGACTTGGCGGGCTTGAAACCTAAATACAAACTTTCTCATTTCCTTCTGTCGCCAGCAGTAGATCAGTGGGTTAAGAAGCGAATTGAGTATGCCAAAGGTACGAATCCACGGAGTGTAGGCATAAAATAATTTTAATTTCGTGGGGTTTACACCTGGCGGAAGCGAAACTATCCATAAAGGATAAAACGCCATTGGGAGAAGGCAAAACACGACCGCGCCGACTATATACACAGTAGTCTTGAGCGCTTTGCTCTCTTTAGCGAATCTTTCCACCTCTTCTTGCGGCAGCTGTTGGGTTTTGATTTTCTTACGCTGGCGAAGCGTTTCACGATACAAAATCACATAAGAACATGTCATAAAAAGGACACATGAAATCAGAATGATAGCTAATGGAAAGTTCATATAAAATATAGTTCCTTTACTGTAGACTTGTGCCAACATCTCAGTTGTCCCCCAAATGGCAGCTAAGATCCAAAGCACGGTTACAGCATGCTTTATGTTCTGCTTCGTAACAACATAAGGATAACGCGTGAAGAACTTGATAGCTATTAGCCTCTCGCCCGTAACCAGCATCAGATGAAGCGAGGAAAACGCGAAGGCGGTGCGTAGACATGAATTGTGAAAACGGGTTGCGTCCGTGGTTTCCTGGCTCGTCTTCCCAAGTAACTGGAGCGTTTTCCACAAAATGAACGATGGCTGGACCAGATGACCTGTTAACACCGCGTCAGTCGCCGCTAAACAGCCCAGCAAGATATTGGTGTTAGTCTGGAGTCTTGGTCTTCTCTTGACGGCCAATATCACCAGCACATTGAGCAAAACTGTCAAGGGACAAGAGATTCCGTTAATGATAACAGTACTGATCAAGCTAACTAGCACTGGAACATTTTGTGTGTCGCCTTCCGTGGCCATTTCTATAACGCTTGCAAAATTTGATCCGGAGAAGTTGATTGATATCAAGTCGAAAGCGTAATGGAACTGAAGCGCTCCAGGTTGTTATTTTCTTGTCCTAGTTGCTCTGATATACCGCCACTGTAGCGTTTCCACTCCAAATTTTCTCATGCATTAACCTAATTATATATCTTAACCTAAAAAGAAGATGAACTTAATTTCTTCGTTACCTTCCCTTACGTGAATTACGAGTTGAGTGTGAAACGATTTTTGAGGTGTTCCATTATCCTGGAAGTTTTTGGTGTGCCGATAAATTTACGTGAAGTATATTTCATGTACAAATCATGTGTCTCGGGGAGGCAATGTAATTATCCAACTTGACTTAAGGCCGGCAGCGGAAACCTTAAAAAGAGAGGCCATTAGTCAGAAAATTGTGTTGGCAACTTACCAACTGTTCATGACATATCTCTCCCATGTTTCAATTATTTTTATTTATAACACTTGGCTGATTCAATTTGCCGCTTATTTTGAAGACCGTGGTACAGGTGTATAATTTCTCTTCAGTGAATATCAACCGTACCACTTTCCCCTTCCACCTCGAGAAATAATTTCTATTGATTATTAATTGAAAATCTCTTTCTTACAGGCAGACGGCAAAACTTTTAAAACCAATGTAGCTCAATGTTTAACTAACTGCTTACAAAAATTTTTGCCGATGATAATTTTGAAATGGCTCTGGAGAGGACAACGCAGATTGACAGTCAAAGTAGGCTAGACGAATAATTTTATAACGATGGATCAAACGCATAAAAAAGGAAGAATGAAATTGAAACCCGGCAATGCAACAAACTTGGATAACCGGAGCACATGATTTTTAGAAATGCGCCGCTCAGCCGAGCGATCTGCAACAGGACGAATTTTGTCCTGAATCTGGATACTTTTTTTGAATTATTTTTTCCAAGAAATAACAAATGGCATACCTCAGTTTGAAATGGCAACTTACTGGAATATTTTGATGGTAAAAACTAAATAGATCATTAGATTGCCAAGTGAACCCCCAAACAATTTTCAAGATCTAGAGGAAGTGAGTGTATAACAATGTCCTGATGTATTTTGTTTCTTTAATTTCCACGTCAATGTCTCGTTCGAACTGAGAGAAAAGTACTACGACCCGGGTACTATTGTTACACACTGATGTATCTTTCCGTTGATTAATTAAAGCTATTTAATTATTCAGTAATTTTCAAGCTGTATTTAAACTTTATGTTTCCAAGATTTACTCGAGCAGGAAATTATCAGATGGGGAAATACATGTCTATGAGTATCACAAGGTACACGGAAATTTCCATTTACCTTTTGTTATGTGCCGCAATAAACGTACATGGAAATTTCAATGTACTTTTTCTTATGTTTGGCCATAAGGTACATGGAAATTTCCATGTACTTTGTCTTATGTGTAACCATTAGGTACATGGAAATTTCCATGTCCTTTTTCTTATGTGTAACCATTGGGTACATGGAAATTTCCATGTCCTTTTTCTTATGTGTAACCATTAGGTACATGAAAATTTCCATGTGCTTTTTCTTATGTGTGTAGCCATAAGGTACATGGACAATTCGTGTACCTTTATTGGGTGTGTGGACGAGTTACTCTGAAATTGTCATGTACTTTTGTAACCGTGAGAATTTTTGGGAACATTTCTTGTGATGACCACTAACTTTGCCAGTTCTTTCCTAACTTCGCAAAGAAAAGAACATTTTCGGTGTTTAGGTACCATTAAAAGAGATAAGAAACATTTTTTTGGCAAATAATCAACTCTAATCATGAGTTCTTGCCAGTTTTGATTACCCCATAGCAGAAAGCTGGGTTATCGCACTAATTCTTACCAGTAGGTTTTGGTAAATATATTGACAATTTAGTAAATTTGTGTCATAACTTTTCTTAAAGCTTCGCTTCTGGCAAATTTCTTAGGGATTCGCTGTATTTTTACCGGTTGACGTTTTCCCCTAGTTTGGCCATATTTATGCCTTTAAGGCTAACTTGCGCCAAACTTTTTACCAGCCTGGCAAAATAATGGTCCAAAACATCCTTTTCTGGCAGATAAGTCATTTTTTTATGGCAAAATTAACGCCCAATAGCCAAATTCTTGCAAGAAATTGTATTTTAGAATATCCCATTTTTTTTAGAACGTGTTAATGTTCTTATTTGATTTTGTATCGTGAAACGCTTCGCCAACGTAAGAAGATCAAAACTCAAAAGCTAGAAGAGGTGAAAAGATTCGCGTAAGAGAGCAAAGCGCTCAATACTACTGTGTACACAGTCGGTGCTGGTGCGTTTTGCCTTCTACCAGGCGCGTTTTTTCTTTTATGGGTAGTTTCGCTTCCGCCGGGTGTAAAACTCACGAAGCTAAAATTTATTTATGCCTTTCACCATGAATTTTCGCCTTTGGCATATTCAACTCGCTTCTTAATCATAATCCACTGATCTACTGCTGGCGGCGGAAAGAAATGAGAAGTTAGCATTTAGATTTCAAGCCTGCCAAGCCGTACTTGCCGTAAAGTTAAATATATGCGACACTAAAGTTTACTGTGATTTATATCGTTGCAGGTGTAGACCCAGAGTATGACAAAATGATTTGTGAAAAATTAAAATTGGGAAACTAATCAAGACATTGCTAATTTTCATAAATTGTATCAAATTTGGAAATCGAAAATGGTAAATTTTAAGCTTAGTCCTCGACACTAGCGACATAACGACATGAACATAACAACATAAGACGGACGTGATGCCGTTATGTTTTCAGTGTGAACATCCTGACATAATGACATAATAGCAACATAACAGTTTGAACATAACGACATAATGGAAAATAGCCTGGTTCACACTAGCGACAAAGCGACATAAGGAAAGATCAGTTTTATCTTTATTTCGTTATGTTCATGATGTTATGTCGTTAATATGTCATTATGTCTACATGTTCACACTACAAACATAATGTCTTTTTTAGGTCGAGATAATGTCCTTTTTATGTCGTTCGTGACGATATCGTTATGTCGCTAGTGTGAACCAGGCTTTAACTGATTTTTCTTCATGTCTTTATGTCGATGTTGATATTACCAACATAAGCGATAATGTCGTTCTGTTATTTTTGTGGTTCTNAGCGACATAACGACATGAACATAACAACATAAGACGGACGTGATGCCGTTATGTTTTCAGTGTGAACATCCTGACATAATGACATAATAGCAACATAACAGTTTGAACATAACGACATAAGGGAAAATAGCCTGGTTCACACTAGCGACATAACGACATAAGGAAAAGATTAGTTTTATCTTTATTTCGTTATGTTCATGCTATTACGTTGCTAATATGTCATTATGTCTACATGTTCACACTACAAACATAACTTCGTTTTTACGTCGAGATAACGTCCTTTTTATGTCGTTCGTGACGATATCGTTACGTCGCTAGTGTGAACCAGGCTTTAACTGATTTTTCCTCATGTCTTTATGTCGATGTTGATATTACCAACATAAGCGATAATGTCGTTCTGTTATTTTTGTGGTTCTGTCGTAACCAAACATTACAGAGCTCAGCGTGAAACAAAGGTCGTGATGTATTTGCGTGGCGGGCGAGGGAGGAGAGGGTGGAGCGAGATACTTTCCGGAACTTTGGTTTCAATCCAATTATATTCTTAACATCCTATTACCCAATCTCTAAAATCGGCCGATTCTAAAAAGCACTGGAGAATTTTTCGCGTCGCTTTCTGTTGCCTTTTCTGTAGCGTTTAATTAGTAAACTTTATGAAGACATGATTGAGGGTGAACTTTGGTACGAATAAGTTAGTTGGTATCGAGTCTAGAGCGTAATGGGGCTGTGGTGCTTAGGTTATTTCCTTGTCCTAGTTGTTCTGATGTACCGCCACTTTAATGTGCAATATGTTTGCCCTCCAAATTTTCCCATGCATTAACCTATAAAGAAGACTTACTTAATTTCTTTATGGCCTTTCCTTACGTCAATCAATATTGACAGAGAAGTGACGGATCTTTGACCGCGTGCTAATCACGTGTCTCAACCAAGACAACGAGTAAAATAACAAGTATTGCACCGTTGATAAGCAATTTAATAAAGATAGCGGATAATCTTTCTAATCTTCCATTATGAGAAATGGTCCAGAAACTCTAAATAAAAGCAAGTGAATAAGCCATAAATCATATTTAATTGCCTGTATTTGTTGTCCTACTTGACATCAAACCAATTAACTTCCTAATATTTTACTAGCCTGGTAATATTTCACCTGGCTAACCGATCAAATAGATCAAATAATATATTGGTCAAATAAAACATCACGTTATGACTTTCATCCACAACAACTAATCACAAGACCACGAAAGTTACTTTGTAATTACCTAAGAGGCTTTCCTGAGTATAGTTTTCATAACAACTTTTGCTCGGAGTAGGAATTTGTTTCTATAATCTTATGTGTACACCGTAACTCAAACATTTTGTGTTTTGTCGATTATCATTTGAAAAAATATAAACCTTTGGCTCCCGTGCCTTTTAAACTTTTCCCAAGATTTAAAACGAGGCAAACAAGTTTGTTGCGGTTGTTTTAAACTGGTTTAACTATGGGAAATTTCGGTGCAAATCAAACATATTAAAACGAGGATGCAGGATTACTCAAATATTTCAGGGAATCTTAGGAGCTAGAAAGGTTGTTGGCGTAGTAGTTTAGTTAGGTTTAAATTCCTCTTATATTTTATTTTTTGTCTCCGTTTAGTAGTTTCCGCACTGCCTATTTCAGTTTGACATTTAAATGGTTGACAAATTCCAACGTTGATTTCTAATTTCATATCAAAAATTACAATATTGCTATGGCAATCAGTGTTGGGTCCATAGAATAATTTATGGTTCCACGGTTGTCATCGCCTGGGGTTAGTAATGAGGATAAACTCCCATACAATAATGGCAAGTCAAAAATCCACGTTTGTGAGCTTAACTTTGTGACCATGGTATTAAACTGGTAAAAGGCTCGGACAATTATATATTAGAATTTTGACAGAAAGCAGGTGAAATTATTTCTTGATTTCACTCGTCACCATTTCATTACCCATACATATTTCGGATACCTTTTTAGACGTTATGGAGCTGATTTCAGGGATAGGGCCACAAAGTTCCGCCAAGGATGCAGTCTCACCCCCTTCTCCCTCAACCCGCCACACAGACACACGAGCTTTGCCTCAAGTGAGTCTCTTGATTTTTAATTTGACAAATCATTTCACCATACACTGGGTCTACATCTGCAACAAGATAAATCGCTGTAAAGTTTAGAGTCCCATACCCCATACTTTTAATTTAAGTTTACAGGAAGTACGACTTGGCGGGCTTGAAATCTAAATACAAACTTTCTCATTTCTTTCTGCCGCCAGCAGTAGATCAGTGGATTAAGAAGCGAGTTGAGCATGCCAAAGGTGCGAATCCACGGTGTAACGGCATAAAAGAACTTTAATTTCGTGGGTTTTACACCCGGCGGAAGCGAAACTACCCAAAAAAGAAAAAACGCTGCCGGTAGAAGGCAAAACACAACTGCACCGACTATATACACGGTAGTCTTAAGGGCTTTGTTCTCTTTAACGAATCTTTCCACCGCTTCTTGCGGTAGCTGTTGGGTTTTGATTTTCTTACGCTGGCGAAGCGTTTCACGATACAAAGTCACATAAGAACATGTAATGAAGAGAACACACGAAATCAAAATGATAGCTAATGCGAAATTCAAGTAAGATAAAAGACTGTCGCTATAAATTTGTGCCAACATGTCAGTTATCCCCCAAGTGATAGCTAAGATCCAAAACACGATCACTGCGTGCTTTATGTTCTGCTTTGTAACGACATAAGGGTAACGCGTGAAGAACTTGATAGCTATAAGCCTCTCGCCCGTAACCAGCATCAGATGAAGCGAGGAACACATGAAGGCGGTGCGTAGAGAAGAATTGTGAAAACGGGTTGCGTCCGATGTTTCCTGGCTCGTCTTCCTAAGCAACTGGAGCGTTTTCCACAAAATGAACGATGGCTGGACCAGAAGACCTGTTAACACCGCGTCAGTCGCCGCTAGACAGGCCAGCAGGATATTGGTGTTAGTCTGGAGTCTTGGTCTTCTTTTCACGGCCATTATCACCAGCACGTTGAGCAGAACTGTTAAGGGACCAGAGATTCCGTTAATGATAACAGTACTAATTAAAGTAACTAGCACTGGAACATTTTGTGTGTCGCCTTCCGTGGCCATTTCTATAACGCTTGCAAAATTTGATCCGGAGAAGTTGAGTTGATATCAAGTCGAAAGCGTAATGGAACTGAAGGGCTCCAGGTTGTTATTTTCTCGTCCTGGTTGCTCTAATGTACTGCCTCTGAAGTGTTTGCACTCCAAATTTTCCCATCCATTAACCTAATTGACCTAACAAGA